CCGCCCCCTCCTTCCCCGCCGCCCTTTGTCTGCTCGGCTCTGCCTCGGCGGCGGATTCAGCACCACGGACAGCTCCGGCAGCGCGGGGCCGCGCGCTGCTCGCGGCTGAGGGGGGAGCGCGGGGACACGCAGCGGCTCCGCAGCCCCCACGCCCTCCTCCCTTCCGGGCGGCGTTGTTGTTGTTTTTGTTTTGTTTTTCTTTCCTTTTTTCCCTAAAGAAAACATATCCAAGAGCCTCCGCACCTCGGCAGCCCCTTTCTCCCCCTCCCCCCCCCCGTCGTGCAGGCGGAAGGCCAACCCCCTCCCCCCGGTCTTCGCCGCCGTCTTGGTGTCCCGGAGGGCAGAAGGGGGGAGGGTGGGGAAGCGGCCGAATCCGGAGCGGGGAGGGTCCAGGCAGCGTCTCCGCGGAGGGGGTTAGGCGAGGAAGATTGGGGTTGGGGGGGATCCAGCAGTCCTTCGCCTCCCCCGCCCCTCGGTGCGCGGCCCCTTCCGTCCCCGGGGGCCCGGTACCTCCCTAGCGGTCCAGGCTGATCGTCCAGTGCTTGGACCCGTCTCCGCCCTCGCCCTCGCTCTTGAGGTCCTGGAAGAGTTGCGTGAAGTAGTGCGGGTCCGCGTTGATTCGCAGCATCTTGGCGCTCAGGCGCTGGATGATGCCCAGGCAGCGCTCCCAGAAGCGGCCCTTGTCGCCCTCCACCAGGAAGGGCTTCAGCGGGTAGGAGATCTCGTTGCCCATGTAGGAGTAGGCGAGATAGAGGCAGGTGAGGAAGGCGGCCTGCAGCTCAGCCTGGCTCCCGATGTCTTCTCCCCGCAGAGCCTCCCGGCACAGCAGGTACACGAACACCAGGTTGGCTGGGGTGATGAAGCCCTGGTCCTGCCAGCCCTGCAGCAGCAGCGAGCGGTCCACGCTGCGGAACCAGGAGATGAGCTCGCCGGGGCTCAGCTCCTTCAGGCGGTAGCAGCGGCGGCACACGAAGTCCCCCAGGCAGCGCAGCAGCTCTCCGGTGGACGCCTGCACGACCACGCGGCGCGGCGAGCCCGGGGCGCGGCTACCGGGGGGCGGCGGCGGTTTTCCCCCACCGGAGCCGGGGTGCAGCTCCTGGGGCGCCGAGGGCACGGTGGGCACCGGCACGGCCAGCGGGCCCTGCTTGGCTCCTTCGGACGGCCCTCCCAGCGATTTGCGCAAGTTCTCGCGGTTGCGCTGCACCACCAGCGGGTCGGGCTGGGTCCCAGGGGGGGGCCCTCCGCCGGGCTTCGGCGTCACCTTCTTGGTGCTCTTCTTCTTCTTGGCCGAGGCGGCCACCAGCCGCTTCCAGGTGAGCGCCGAGATGAGCACCCCGGGCCTCTTCAGCCGGCTCTCGCCCTTTCCCGGCAGCCTGCCCGGAGCCTTGTCGGCCAGCAGCCCCCCGCCGCCGCCGCCCTTGCCCGAGGAGGCGGCGGGGGACAGGGAGAGCACCGTGCCCATGCTAACGCCGAGCGGGACGGGCGTATGGGGGCCGGGACGCCGGCACCGCCCATAGGAGGCCGGGGTGCTGCGGGGGAAGCGGCCCGCACCGGGGCCGCGGTGCCCGAAGGATGCTTCGCCGCGCCCGCTCTGGGCTCCGCGCCCTCCGCTGCAGCCCAGCCGCCTCCCCGCCGCTCCCCGCCTCCCCTCCGACAGCCAATCGGCTCCGCACGGGGCCCCGGTACGGCCCGCCCCCTCCCCGGTGGGCGGTGGCGGGGGGGTCGGCTGGACCGGCGCGGTTTCTCTGGGCGGCGGCCGTCCCGCCGTGACCTTCATCGCCGCCTCGGCAGGTCCCGCGGGTTCCAGACTGTGTTCTGGAGCCGTGGGGAGGTGGCTGGGATGCAGGGATGGGAGAACGGCAAGGTGTTGGGAGCCCCTCAGGACGCGGCCGCCCCCGCCCTGGTCCTGTTCCTTGCTCGAGAAGGCAGGATGGACCAGCCCAGCCCAGCTGAGCACCCAGAAGTGGTGCTGGGTGGAGATGCAGCTGGCCACAAGAGTGGGGAAGAATGCTGTGCAATGCCAAGGGGAGAGGAAGATGGGAGATGCATGCTTGAGGGCAGCTAGAAAAGGTTTGGGAACAGGAAATGTCTGCCCACACAGAGCCATCGAGGAGGGGTTGGGGGGAGAGCCAGCCTGCCCCCTGAGTTTGTCTGTGCAGGGTGCTGCTCCCCACTGCCTGTTCCAGGCTGGCGAGAGCCCCCCAGCACCAGCTGTACAACAGCACAGCGCATCTTCTGTCTGCCTGTCCTATCCCCGTTCTGCCTTTTCAGCCACAGAGGGGAGATTTCCAACTGCTCTGACTATCACCAGCATCAGACAAAAGTCAGGGTGCTTAGAGATAGAGGAAGGAGGGGGAGGATGCTGCACTACTGCATCACTGCAAAATGGTGTGCGATCAACCAGCTGTGTGCACACAGCCTGCTTCCCCCCTTCTAGATCTGAGCACGGCACGGATGCAGCCTGCACCCCCTGCCTCCCTGCCCATCGCAGGAGGATCCTGCTGTGTTTCTCAGGAGCTGGAGGACAGATCCTGCGGCTCTGATGGCTCCAGCTGGTGCCAGGCATCCATTAGGAACAAAATGCCCCAATTGCCTGGACTGCTCCTGCATGTAAATTGCCCGGAAGCGACGGCTGAGAAATGGTTCAGGGAGAATGTATCGATGATGCATTTTGATATAGCATTTTATCCGTGAAATTAACACGTCAGTGGCAGGATGTAGCTCTTGCCAGATAGATCCAGGCTAACAGGCAGTAATGAATTATCAACCAGGAGGAGCTAAAGCAGCTCCCCCTTCCTCCTGCAGTGCTGATGCTGGAGGTGTTTGAAATGGAAGCGCAGGCTCAGAGCTGACTTCATCCTCCCAGCGGGGCCTCCCCATGCCTGGGGCTGATATGCCACACCTGGGACCCTCTGCCAGAGCAAAAAGAGGGGTTAAGTCCCATTCCTACATATCCCCTGCTGTGGCCAGCCACGTGCCTTGGTGGCCTATGCAAAAACACGCACGTGTACACAGACACACAGATCTGCTTCGGGAGCAGCCAGAACCCAATCGGATCTGGGCCAGCATTGTCTACCCAAGGCCTGCTGAAAACAAACAAACTTGGAGAATTTGGTGTCAAAAAAAGGAATATGGGATACAAATGAGAAGGAACAAAGCCAGGACAAGGTTCCTGAAGATTAAGACTCTCCAGCTTCAGCCTAGCAAGGGTGGAAGGGCTCCACCCCTAGGGAATCACACACAGAATCACACACAGAACTGTAGGGGTTGGAACGGACCTCCAGAGATCATCGAGTCCAACCTCCCTGCCAAAGCAGGTTCCCTACACCAGGTCACACAAGTAGGCATACAGGCAGGTCTTGAATATCTCCAGAGAAGGAGACTCCACAACCTCCCTGGGCAGCCTGTTCCAGTGAAGGGATCATTCCTTGTCCTCTTTCCATGCTTGAGGATGGACTGACTTTCCAATTGCACATACTCATCAGAAACCACAGCTGAATTTGGCAGGTGAAGCAGCAGAGCCCTTCCTGCACGCTGTTCTCTCCTCCTGGAGCAAAATTGCTCCCAGATTGCTTCACCTGAAATACATGAAGCCGCCCACACCCTCCATGCACTCTCCCAAATTGGCATCCCTGAACTCATTAAGCAGGACTATTTGTATTCGGCAGCCATGAGCCAGGCTCTGCAGCCTCCCACAGAGAAGCGTGCAGAGGCTCCCTCAACCAGGTCTGCAGTCATTGGCCCCAGGCAGCAACGCGTGAGCTTCCTGGGGCTGAAATCTGTATAAACTCCAGCCTAGGGCCAGCTGTTTCCCTTGCCTGCAGTTGCAGCATCATGCTGTGGAACCAGAGGAACAGCTCTGAGATGCAGGTGGTTGGTGAGAATTTGTCTTTCTCCATCCCATGTGTCATGCAAACACCAGGGAATTACCCTGCAAGAACAGAGGGACATTTCTTATACAGGTAAAGAAGCGGCTTTGCAGCTTACCTGGGAGGCAGCTGCTCTTCCACGTGAAAGAGGAGGATCCTTTCCCCCCTCTCCAGTTTTATTCTTCAAGCTTCAGGCCTGAGACTGACAAGCGATGATACAACACAAACCACATGCTCAGCACCATGGCAGGTCACCTCCCAGCAGCTTTGGGCAGTAAGAAAGGCATAGAACAGAAATAGAAGGCATTAACAGACCCCCTGCTCCAAAAGGTCACCCCAGTTAGGACAACACATATATCAGCTATGTGCCTGTGCCAACAAAGGGATGCTTGCTTGCCCAGGCCCCTAATTTTGATTGTGTTAGAAGTACCCCTATTCCAGACCAGGGGTGATCTGGATGGGGAGCTGGAGCACACTGGCAGCCCTACTGTGATGCTAGTCCCCTGTTCCAGGCTGCAGAGCTACCAGGCACGAGCTTTCCTATGCATCCTGGCAGAAGGCAGTTGGCACGTCCCCCTGCCTGCTTCACAAAGATGAATGAGCAACTGGCTGGCTGGAGCTGGTCTCTAATGGCTCACTTGCTGTGCTGTGGTCTGTCTGCACTGGCAAAGACAGCATTGTACAGTCCAGGGCGGGGAGAGCGGCAGGTACGTGGAGGGCCTCGTGCAGCCCCTGCTCCGAGGTCAGTTCCTGGAATCACAAAGCAGAGCACAGCCCCCAGGGAACAGCTATTTCTGTCCTGCTGTTTGCCAAATAGCAATGGTAGAAAAAATTCAGGGACCCTGAGAAAGACTGCTCTTCCAGATGGAAACCGCAGTGGAGAGGACTGACAGGGAAAAACATCAGAGCATCCAGATTGCTGGGCAGAGAGAGGAGTTCTGGAGCAGCACAGAGTCGCACAGGGCAGACACTAGGCTCCTGCTTTGCCAGTGCAGAATGAGAATGGGGATTACTGCAGCACCTGTCCTTTTCAGACCTGCTGCTAAAGCCATCGCTGGGAAAAGGTTTCAGCTGTGCGCTGGACAGCCCAAGCACCACGAGTCGTTCCTCGTTAGGGTATCCATGTAGTCCTGCAACAGATAAAAACTCGGGAGAGCTTAATGAATGGGCTAATTACCGTCAACCCCCGCAGGCAACTATGAAGTGTGAGGCTCCGCGGGCTCGGCCCCCGAGCTGTACCCCGTGCCGGTGCTGCCCTCTGGCGGCCCCGGAGGCTGCACCGTGCGGGGGGCAGATCGCGGAGTCCCGGCGGGGGAAGGGCTGCTGCCAGGCGCTGCGTCCGAGGAGAACCCCGGAGAAGGGCTGCTCACCCGCAGACTGACGCGGCTGACCCAGGCATCCCCAAACACTGGAACTGTTCGAACCCTGGAGTGAGGCTGCCGGCCACTGGCCCCAGTTCCCAGAGATTCCCCAGTGATGGGAAAGGGAGAGCCATTGGCTTCAGTTCTTGGGTCCCGGCGCTGGTGGCCATGGGGACCCAGCGACACTCGCGGGGAGGATGGCTGCCCACCAGGTGGAGCTGCACCCCGCGTTTTGCTGCTGTTGTGGTGGCTCCGGACCAGCTCTGCTCTCCCGGTGTTTTTCCCTACCGTGGCCTTCCCCAGCCCTCTGGGTAGAGCGTGGATGAAGGACATGAGTGTTCTGTACGGATGTTCTGGAGACAAGCCTCCAGTGCGAACCTCATTATCTCCACCAGCTGAGCAGAGCAATGAAGTTGTCCACTTCCAATGGCTCAGTGTTATGGGAACCTTCTCCCCAGCAACCTGGACAAGGGAAGTGAGCAGCAAGAGAATGGCCTTGGTGCTTTTCTGGCCTTTAATTTTCCCAGTACCCAGAGGGCTTCCTGCTGCCCCATATCGCTCTGGTAACATGCTGCTTCCTCAAGCCTGCATCACATCTGTTTGGGGTCAGAGCTGGGTTTGGAGGAAGCAGAAGTAGCAATTGGCACCTGGTGGGTCCCACATTACCAATGTAACCTCCAGGATTTGGCAGAACCCCATGAAGCTGGGTCTTGGAAAGCCCCCTGGTCGAACAACCCAATGCCTTCCCCAGTTTCTTTTCTTCCTTGGTATCTGCCATCCCCAGTCAGGGGTCCCGTCATGAGGGGCAATGGCTCCAGGCAGTGCAGGATCTGCTGAAGCTGCGTTGGTCCCAGCCAGCCTGCAGATCTGCTCCCTGCCTGGTGCAATGCTGTCAGGCCAGTGCGAGGGAGGCAGCTGTACAGGAAATAATCACGGCTTGTTCAAGATTAAATCACTGGCGGGAGCGTGCGAGGGGATAAAAGGAACCGTCTGTCGTTAGAGGGAATATTAACCTGGCAGCAAGCTGGGAGGGGGAAGAATTTTATTCCCTATGCTTGCTGCCTGCCAACCCCACAGCGTGCGCTGACAGCAGCTCTCAGCAGGACACACGGCTCAGCCCCGGCACTGGGATGAGGGAGGAGTGGAGATGCTGCAGGGGAGGGTTGTGGGAACAGCGGGGAAACTGAGGCAGCACGTGGCACAAGTGCACCATATGCCTTGGAGACACTGAG